GAGTAATACCTGTAACAGGTAGCCATACACCTCCCCCACCCTATCCCCCCCCCTACCTACCAACTAATAGGCTATAAGCCTCACCTTTATCTAGTTAAAACCCCTCCTAAATATCGTAGCTAGAAACAACCTACTTAGATACTTATAGGCCTAAAAACCCTACACGTCTTATATAGCCCTTTGGGCTGAAAAAGGACGTTAAACTAGAATAATAATAATAAGAATAAATACTAGTTAGATCATGCTAATTGGCTCATGTAAAACTTGGAGAGGAATAGTCAATATGATACTAATTATAACATATATCATTCTATCTAACAGGATACTACTGATAGTTTACAATCTAGTAAGCTTTTGTACTACTAATATGTACATATGTATTGGATATATATTATTTATTAATAAACTACTATAAGGAGAATGAATGTATACGTACTTTTCAACACATTTCTAGTCTTAATATTTAGCGATATAACTACAGTTTTACATCGTCTGGAAGCTTTAGCTAAGGAACAAACTAGCAAGCACCAGATCGCTCTGTTTGCTAAGAAGATATCATAGTGCTACACTCCACATCCACACCGTTGTAGATTCAGTCTCTCTACCCCTACACCCTCTAGTAGTTTAGTATTCTTAGTGGTTCTTCGCATTCCATGTCTTGACACAGCCATGTCTATGTGGCCTGCATCCTGTCATTATTCTTATCCCCGCCACAAAAAGTAAGACCTTCCGACGAAATATATCCAGAATTATTATCCTCCAGGGCCCTGGTTGACGGGCCTCAGGTTCTGGCTGCGCCCGTTACATAACTTCGGCAGACCAACTGTAGGCGCTGCGTTTGTGCGGTATCCTGGGCACTGATTCCCACAGCAAAGAAATAAAACGCCTTCCTACAGGTTGTTCAAAGGAGAAATTGCACCCCAATACTTTAAATCGCTCTGCTTTCCCTTCATACCATTATTTATTGTTAGCATATATATTACACATACCCCTCTACAATGTGTGCTATTGTTTCCCTGTTCACACGATGATATGCAGGCGTATACTATAGGGCAGATCTTCATAGGTAATTTCTCCTTGGAGATGCGGGGTAAGTAGAGTAACTTTCCCTGTCTGACTGGGTGCAATAACTGCGAACAGTAAGCAGCAGATCATTACGATGATTAAACCACACTTCAGTCCTAGCGCTTACTTTGAATACCCTTGGGCCCCCTTTTTCAATGCAAGGAGGCCTGTTGGGGAACGGAGATACCCGGATACCAACTCCATCCAAAATCAGCCCAAATCACAGCAAGAATCACAACAAACAGCGTTCTGAAATCTGTGAAGCTCCAGAAGACTGACTAAGGATACTCAGTGTTGTTGATATGATTAAATGTCATGGCTAAGCAGTCCATAGTGTTGGCATTTTCAAGCAGTTGGCACTGTTGTGTTATCCGGCTTTTTCGGTTCCCCAAGAGCAGGCCTGCTTCCACAACGTCAGCCTCCTTAGTATTGCAGCAAATTTGTTCTTCAACGTTAAAATTTCACGGCCCGAGAATACATGAACACTGCGGTATACGCTGTATCAGCACTATAGCCGAAAGGAATCACATGGCCATGGTACAAATTCGTATTGCTGAGTGTCTACATTTGTGAAACATGGTTTCGTGGAGGATGGTTTAACGTAAGCTATTAGAGCTCAAACAAGGGTCGCTTATGATTGAATATAAGATTCTTCATTTGCCTTCGTGGGACGGGCCACATATTTTTGAACTGGTGTTACTCTTTTACTCCACACTCATTTTGCGTTTTTGCGTGCTTGCGCTCTTTTTCGATTTCATTTTTTTCCAACAGTGTTCATCATGGGTTGGAAATCATACCTTTTACCACTGTGGCTGAGAGCTGCAGCTGGATTAGAACAGTCAGACATAGCTCGAGGTTCTTTCATTGTTGAATATGAAGAGCCCAGGCTTGGGGTAATGATCCAACAAGAACGAGTAAATTGTGCTAAATGTACCCAGCTACTTTCATCCGTCTTGGACATGCTCGACGTTGTTAAGGTCCTGGATTTCGACTACGATGTGTTCAAGGGCGCTACTGTCTAGTTCAACAACAATAAATCCCCCGATGAACACATGTCTTTGTTGCTTTCGAATCCAGCCATCAAAAACGTCTGGCCAAAAACAATTGTCTCTATACCTAACACTCAGGTTGGACGAGCTGGGCCAACAAGCCCAACACACCTGGTGGCCAGAGATCTACAAGGCAATCAAACATACTCGCCCCACGCTATGACCCAAGTTGACAAATTACACGAAAAGGGCATCACTGGTAAAGGAGTTAAGATTGCAGTTGTTGACTGTGGTGTAAGCATAACAGTGAGTGAACATATTACAAAATGTGTATTAATCCTACATTAGATTGATTACACCCACCCAGCGCTTGGTGGATGCATTGGGCCTGATTGCTTAATTGTTGGCGGTTATGATTTTGTTGGTGATGCGTATAACGCATCCAACACCCCTGTTCCTGATGATGATCCAATGGATAAATATTTTGTATATTACCTTTCCTCATCGTGTTTGATTCATTGGCTAAAAGCAAAACAGGGACATGGTACGCACGTAGCTGGTATTATCGCTGCCCAACAGACCGAATATGGCTTTATAGGGGCTGCACCTGTAAGAACATTTTAAGGGACTGTCTAACAAGTTATCTGATTTATTGATCTTAGGACGTCAAAATAGCAGCCTACAGGGTGATAGGCTGCGCTAACAGGGCTGGTAACGATGTTATCGCAGCTGGTTTCCTGCGCGCACAGCAAGATGGGGCTCATATCATCACTGCCTCCCTCGGAGGCTCTAAGGGATGGAGCGAGGGCTTTCTTAACGTTATCGCTTCTCGAATTGTTGCCAAAGGCGTCATTGTTACCGTCGCCGCTGGGAACTCCGGTGAAGATGGATTGTTTTCTGCTAGCGCGCCAGCTGGTGGAAAAGGTGTTGCTGCTATTGCTTCTTTAGACAATACTGTAACGCCTGTGTTACTCACACAGTCCTCTTATCTGGTTTCAACCCGCACGAAACAGAGCTTTAAATGGGCTAGAGGCAGTCCAGGCAACTGGACAGACGCCGGTGTGCTGGTACTCTGGACGCCAACATTCAACACCAATCAGACTGGGGATGCTTGCTTACCTTTCTCTGGCAACACAACCGGTCTTTCTAGCAACACCACGGGACTTTCTGGCAACACCACGGATCTTTCTGGAAAAGTTGTTCTTCTCTCTTTAGATGGTTGCGTTGACCAGTATCTGCAAAGCGCATTGAAGCTCGGAGCCCATTACATCATGGTTTCGAACAGCCCTGATGCTAATCAACAAAATCTCTATGTTAGGCCACTTCCAGGCCTCCTAGGTCTCGGTATGGTCTCTGTCACTGTAGGGACCAAGTGGTTCGCAGATCTGGCCGCAGGAAAGGTTGTTACGTTGGATTTCACCGATATTGCCACTAGCCGAGTCACTCTTGAACAGTCGCCTAACAACAGGACTAGCGGACTTCCAGGTTTCTTTATGTCCTGGGGACCGTCTTTTGAGGGCGACCTAACGCCTTCATTTAGTGCACCAGGTGGGCATATCTTATTAACGTTCCCTGTTGCTTTAGGTTCTTACGCCGTAATGTCTGGTACCTCTATGGCCTGCCCACTTGCTGCTGCTATCTACGCCCTTCTGTCAAATGTACGGAACACCTTCGATCCAATCCAGCTTCAAAACCTACTTGCTACTACCGCTAAGCCAGTTCAATTCAATAGTAGTATCAACTCTTTAATCGCGCCACCCGCACAGCAAGGAGCAGGATCCATTCATGCGTATGACGCGGCCTATACAACTACAGAAATAAGCCGTTCAAGTCTTGCTTTCAATGATACTGCTCGATTAACTGGCAAAACCTTTACGATTTCTAACACTTGTGTCAAGGAAGTCACCTATGAGTTAGACGTTGTTGGCGCGGCTACTGCTTACACGTTCTCTGCTGGTAGTATCAGGCCAGCTGCGTACCCCGATGGACCTAAGCTCGACAGCTCCTTTGCAAAAGTGGAACTAAGCGACTATAAAGTTACTATCCCTGCAGGTGGTAAAGTCACAATTGCTGTTAAGGTTACACCTCCATCAGTTGCTATTACAAGACTCCCAGTGTACGGAGGCTATATCCAGATTAACGGTACAAACGGCGATAAGCTCTCTCTCCCTTACCAAGGTATCGCAGGAGACCTTAATGCTGTAACTGTTATGAACACAACGTACCTATCAAACGCCAACAGTGGACCCGACTATCCGCCCTTCAATGGCAGCAACACGACGTTTCTGTTTCCACAGGCTGATAGCGTGGATCTTGGACTTATCACCGACGACCTTCCAGTTGCGGCTGTTGATCTTGTTTTTGGATCTCCGCTTCTCAGCATCCATATTGTGTCAACTGGAAAAAAAACAGTCAATCTTGGTCACGCTGTGGACTCACCCTTTAATTACACTCAGCGCGTCTTGATGGGCTACCAGTGGAACGGTCAATTAGCTGATAAATCATTTGTACCAGCAGGGAGTTACAAGTTCCGTGTTTCAGCGCTGCACATCTTTGGTGAAGCAGACCAGCCGCAGGACTATGACGTTGCGGAGACGTCTTCTTTCAAGATTGCCTACAAATAGTGTCGGGTAACAGTGGAGGAAGCACGAGGGGTATCATATTGTTGGGCCGGACTACAATGCTCTTTCCTGATCTGCACAGAGGCAGGCGAGTCTAGTACTACTACTGTTTCGCGCGATTGTTTGACGCTTTTTTGTTTCATCTCGTTTCACTTCGACGGCTATTATATGTACTATTCTAAAAACAGAAACTTTCTTTTGATTGACTTTGCACGGGCTTGAATGTGTAGTAGGTAGAGAATATATCTGGAGTAGTAGAAGTGGCTAAGGTATATCGCGTAGTCCTCTACATCTCTTTAACAGTACTGCTAATAGTAATCCCACCAAATCAGCTAATAAAGCTCTTGGAAGTAAAACACGATTTTGATGGATCGCATTTAGCATTGCAAGTAACAGAGTGGCAATAACCATGTCAAGCAAGCCCCAATCTCTCTTTCGCACCTTTGCGTCCTTATTGTTCAACCCACGCCTTCGATAATTCTCTTACACCACTGGCATCTTGAAACATTGAAAATTATGTAGCCGACTCACTATCTTGAGTTCTCGGCTCATCCGAAAACTCGGTTGCCGTGTAGTGTCTAGTGCGGCCTTGATTTCGTAGAACATGTAGCTGGGGGATGGATCTGCGGACCTATCTTGTCGCCAAGGAAGTACTCCCAATGGATGTAACAAGGACCAAACACGATTCTCGCAGGCCTTTTTAACCGCCATTCTCTATAAGGTCTGCTTCACAAACCTGTACAAGCGCTCAGGCCTATACTTAGTCTGGATATTGAAGACTTCTTCGTCTCCACTAGGAACCCGCTGCGGCAGATTTGTGTTGTCATACCAGAACGCGAGTTCGAGGCTGATATTCTCGACCTTGTCACCATGCTCTTGGAATTTGCCTAGAAACTCCTGGAATTCTTTGCCAGCTTCATGGAAGGTATCCGAGAGCGTAATGTATATAGAGTCTATCTCAGTGCGCGTCGGGCCAAGGACGATTTTGGGCAAAAGCTGATTCTTAACCTGTTATAAAGACTTTTGTATCGAGGGTGGGGGGGGGGGGGGGCTTCACCTCTTCGTATATAGTTCCATTGAGTTAAAGTAGTGCGGTTGGTATACGATATACCTCCCAGCTACAAATGCTGGACTTGAAGAAAACAGGCTCGTAGGTGATGTCCGGCAGATAGCTGAAGACATCACAGCGCAGTTCCGTCCGCAAGTTCATTAATGGAAAGCCTCCTCCTTCTCCCATCACTACTGTGGAATGGTCGTTGATTTGGATGGGGTCGTAGATTGTAGGTCTTGACTTTTTCAGCGCTGTTTGTGTTGTTGTGCGGATCTGCTCCAGATAATTGTGCATGAAGCGATAGGTACAATAAAGAACGAAAGTTCCTGGCGCACTTTTGAGTGTTGTCAAATCTTCTTTTATGGTTACCTGGTTTTGTGTTCCATGATATTGCATGAGGTTCGTCTGTGGTTGGTCTCCACTGCAACCCGTGCTACCACAATGGCCTATTATTATTGTTCCATTAGAGTCTAGTGAGCTCGAGGCTATGTAAGACTTTGGCCGAGGCCGTTCTAACTAGATTTATTTACAAATACGAGTTTGTGCTTGAAGTGTGTCTGTGGTGCTTCGGCCTTTGTCTAGGTAAGCGATAGCTATCGCTTACTAGACGCCTAGTGCTAAAGAGCATTTTGATAACAGAAAGAGATGTTAGAAAGCAAAGTAATCCTCTAGCGGGCTCTTTTAGGGATAAAAAGAAAAAGTTTCGACTTAGGTAGTTTTAA